CTCCGACCCAGGTGTAGGACCTTGCACTTGTCATGGTTAAACTTCATGAGGTTGGCATCAGCCCACCTCACAAGTGTGTCAAGGTCCCTCTGTTTGGCATTCCTTCCCTCCAGCATTTCAGCCGAACCACACAGCTTGGTGTCATCGGCAAACTTGCTCAATCCCACTGTCCATGTCAGCAAAAAAGATGTTGAACAAGATCGGTCCCAACACCAATCCCTGAGGGACACCGCTCATTACTGGTCTCCAGCTGGACATTGAGCCATTGACCACAACTCTCTGTGTGCAGCCATGCAGCCAATTCTTTATCCACCGAGTGGTCCATCCATCAAATTGATGTCTCTCCAATTTAGAGACAAGGATGTCATGCGGGACAGTGTCGAACACTTTACACAAGTCCAGGTAGATGATGTCAACTGCTCTACCCCTGTCCATCAGTTCTGTATCCCCATCATAGAAGGCCACCAAATTGGTCAGGCAGGATTTCCCCTTAGTGAAGCCATGCTGGCTGTCACCAAGCACCTTGCTGTTTTTCATGTGCCTTAGCATGCCTTCCAGGAGAATCTACTCCAAGATTTTGCCAGGCACAGAGGTGAGACTGACTGGTCTGTAATTCCCCGGGTCATCCATTTTCCCCTTCTTGAAAATGGGGGTTATATTTCCCTTTTTCCAGTCATCAGAAACTTCACCTGACTGCCATGATTTTTCAAATATGATGGACAGTGGCTTAGCAACTTCATTCTCCAGCTCCTTCAGGACCCGCGGATGGATTTCATCAGTCCCATGGACTTGTGCATATTCAGATTTTTAAGATGGCCTCGATCCAGTTCCTCTCCTACAGTGGGCCCGAGGTCTTCATTCTCACAGTCCCTGCATCTGCCTTCCAAGACTTGGGTGGTTTGGTCAGAGCCTTTGCCAGTGAAGACTGAGGCAACGAAGTCATTCAGAACCTCAGCCTTCTCCAAATCCTGTGTAGCCAGTTCTCCCGAGAGCTTCCTGAGGGGGCCTACATTCTCCCTAGTCAGTTTTTTATTTGCAATGTACCTATAGAATCCCTTCCTGTTATCCTTAATACCCCTAGCCAAGTTTAATTCTGACTGGGCCTTAGTTTTCCTAACCTGGTCCCTGGCTTCCCGGACAACATCCCTGTACTCTTCCCATGCCACTTATCCTTGCTTCCACTTATTATAAGCCTCTTTTTTCATTTGAATTTTCCTCAGGAGCTCCTTATCCATCCAAGGAGGTCTCCTGGCCCTCCTGCTGCACTTCCTTCTAGTTGGGACGCAACACTCCTGAGCTTGTAGCAGGTGATCCTTGAATATCAGCCAACAGTCTTGGGTCCCCCTACCCTCTAGGGCTGTATCCCATGGAACCTTACTAAGCAGGTTCCTGAAGAGGCCAAAGTCTGCTCTTTTGAAGTCCAGGGCAGTGAGCTTGCTGCACGCTCTTCTCACTGTCCTGAGGATCTCAAATTCGAGCATCTCGTGATCGCTGCATCCAAGGCTGCCCTGGAGTGTCACGTTTCCAACGAGCCCTTCCCTGTTGGTGAGCACAAGGTCAAGCATGGCACCTCTCCTTGTTGGCTCCTCTGTTACTTGCAGAAGGAAGTTGTCTTCCACACAATTGAGGAACCTCCTGGATTACTTGTGCTGGGCCGTACCGTCCTTCCAACAGATGTCAGGGTGGTTGAAGTCACCCATGAGAACAAGGGGCTGCGAGCGTGAGGCTTTTCCTGTCTGTCTATGGAGTGCTTCATCTGCAGGTTCTCCTTGATCAGGCGGTCTGTAACAGATCCCCACATCATCCTTACTGGTCAGCTTAACAGCCAGGTTCTCACTGTGCTGGTACAGGGCAGTTCCCTGGTTTGCGGGAGCCCATGCAGGGGAGCTCAGCTGTCCTCTCGAAGCAGGGAGTAGAGGTGCTGCCTTGTTCGGGGGCTGCATTTCCCTTCAGGGAGCTGGAAGTATTATGGAAGCTGACTTCCAGACATCTGAACTCTTCTCAGATACTAAAGAGTGCGTGTGTATGTATATATATAAATACAATGTATTTTGCCCAGGGTATATACAAACATTATGCATTTAACTACAGGAGCTGTGGCACTGGAATGTGGGAGACATGGGAGGAAAACATAATTCTTTTAATTTGTGTGTTTCACTATTGACAAGCACCGCACCACCTCAGTTCCATACAGTCCCTAAATTTCTGGTCATTGTACACTCTGGCATATTCTCAGTATGCCTTTTAGTCTTTATATATATATATTCAACAATTTTAATGTCTTAGAACTGTCTATGCCAAGATTAGGGTGTTTTTTATACTAAATGTGTGCTAATATTGATAACACTGACATGTTTGAGTATCTTTATAGACATATTTTGTATGTTGTTTTTGATATTAAAGAATATACATTTTGCTAGCCTTAACTCCATTCTTTAAAGAGCTGCTTTGTTAGAAGGGTAAGAAATGTCTCATGTTTCTCATGGTGCTAAAGTAACTGTGATCAGTCTTCAATTATTCAGAATAAAGATGGTGGTTCTTAAGTGCCCCGTTTATTACTGCATGCATAATTTTTAGTCTTGTTCTCCTGTAAAACTTGCCATTTAAAAGAGTAATTTTGTACTATAATCTGGTAATTATTGTCTCATGCAGACTTTATACAAAAAGTATTTATGGCTTTTATCACAACTGTATTCTGATTGGAATGTCCCCATTACATTTACTCCTAAATTAATACATGGTGCAGCACATTTTATTCTGATTGCAATGACAATCTGTTTTAAGACCAGTGGTTTATAAACCTAAACTACTGACCTAGAGTTACTTGTTTCTGAAAATGTTATTTGGTCTATTTTCCAATTTGGGCTTTAATATCAAATTTAACCGTTGTCTTCACAAAAGGCAGAAGTAAAATTGAGGGAGGGGAAGCTGATAAGAATAAACTTGAGTGGCATTTTAAAATAATTCTGTATTTTCTGCTTCATGAACTGCCAGTGTAATTCAGTGGAACCTTTGATCATTTACTGGCCTACTACCAATTTCACCTTGGTTTACCTCGGCAGCATGAAGTGTTTCCTCATTGACAGCTTCAGTAAATCACGGGAGTTCATTCACCTTCCCTTTGTACTAGGGCCAAATATTTCCTTCTCTTTAATAAACATACCTGATAAGGTATGTTTAATGGCAATATTTCCCATTCCACCTGGGGTTAGTCTCTAGCTCGATTATATTGAAAAATATGCCCAAAACCTTTATATGAACCTTAGTGCCGTTGCAATTTGTACACTCTCGAGGTGTACTCTTTGTAAGTATTTAAAAGAAAAATTAGCCTATAGAATACATTTCAAATACTTCTGTACTTTTTAAAGGAAGCTATTTTTATACAGCATTTGTAATGACGGCTAACTAACAAGGCAAAATACTAACATCTAAAAATGCAGTCTGACTTTGTGGTTGGTTGATCCTTGAAACACCTTCCCCTCATCCCTCCCTCTTTCCCAAGCTCAACTTCACTCCCAATTTCTCAACTCCTCCCCTGCAGTGGCAGAGGAGGACAGGGAATGAGGGTTGTCATCAGTTCATCACAGGTTGTCTCTGCTGTGCTCCTTCCTCCTCAGGAGGAGGACTCCTCACACTCTTCCCCCGCTTCAGCGTGGGGTCCCCCTCACCGCAGACAGTCCTCCATGAACTTCTCCAACATGAGTCTTTCCCATGGGCTGCAGTTCTTCATGAACTGCTCCAGCATGGGCTCCTCTCTCCAAGTGACCACTGATCCTGCCAGAAGCCTGTTCCAGCTTGCTGTGGGGTCACAGCCTCTTTTGGGCATCCCCCTGCTCTAGCGTGGGGTCCTCCATGGACCTTCATGGGCTGCAGAGGACAGCCTGCCTCACCACGATCTGCACCAGAGGCTGCAGGGGAATCTGGTGCCTTGGAGCACCTCCTGCCCTCCTTCTGCACTGACCTTGGGGTCTGCAGGGCTGTTGCTTTCATGCATGCTCCCTTCTCTCTTCTGACAGCTGCTTGTGTTGCATAGGGTTGGTTTTTAGTTTCCTTTCTTAACTCTGTTATCCCAAAGGCCCTACCACTGTCGCTGACTGGCTTGGCCTTGACCAGCAATGGGTTGCTGTTGGCGCTAGCTGACATTGGCTTTGTCAAACACAGGGGAAGCTTCTGTCAGCTTCTCATAGAAGCCACCCCTGTACCCAACTACCAGAACCTTGCCATGCAAACCCAATGCAGACTTGTATATCATGTTCAGAAAAGTAATACTGTTATTTCATACTTGAAGTAATTTCAGTTGGAAGTCTCTACTGATGGACCTATGAACAGCAGCTCAGCGGTGCTCTGTGGACCCGAGATAGACTGTACTCCTTGCAAAGATATTAACGTGGCTATGAACAACCAGATGCAAACGCTATCTTGCATGGTTATTTGCTTGTACCCACGTTCTTTTTTTCTAATGTGTACATCCCCTCCTGCAGGTTATCCGCACTTGCAGTTGTACCCGCACCACGGCAGCCAGTGCCAGGAGAAACAAGACGAGGCTGCTGCAATTGATATGCAATGTCTATTTTAATTCTAGCGTATATTTCTGTTCTGAACAACATGGAACCCAAGACAAAAAGATCCAGGTTCGAATTATCTTGGACTGGGTTGTGAGGCCTAAAATTCCCAGTGGAAGCGCTGTATCACGGGACTGTAGCTGTTTGCAGCATGCGAGCTCAGGTGTTACTGCCCCCCTGCTACCCATCCTAAAATCCCCTTTAGAGCGGGCAGACGGCGCAAAACTGCGCAAATAACCCCAAAACCACCTGCGGTGACACAGCGCCCGCAAGCGCGCAGCCGCCGCCACCTACCCACCCATGGGGCTGTCTCCACGGTAACGGCAGTGGGCGGGGCCCCCGCCCCCGGCGCAGAGTACGCCGGGAGCTGTAGTTCCCCCCGCGCCGCCATGCGAGGGGGCGGGGCCGGGGCTTTCCCGTGCTGCGGCCGTTGGTGCCGCGGCGCGGAGGGCCATGGCGGGCGCCGAGCGGAAGAAGCACGTTCGGTTTGCTGCACCGGGACACGCGGCGGCAACGGGGCCGCGCTTCCCCGCCGCGCCGCGCGCGGAGGTGGCCGTGGTCGGCGGCGGCTGTCGGGGCGGCCGGGGCGGGGACGGAGCGGTGCTGCGGTGGTGCATCTCCGGCGCGCTGTGTGCGGCCTTTCTGGGGCTGGTGAGCGTGGGGGGAGAGGGTGGGCTGGCGGCCCCCGGCACCTGCAGCTCGGTCTCCGCCCGCTCGGCAGGAGAGAAGGGGGTGTGCGAGGTCATCCCCCGTCCAAATGTGTTGCAGGGGATGAGCATCGCGGTGCTGGGGCCCACGTTCCAAAACCTGGCCGCTAACGTCCACAAGAACGTCAGCGACATCTACTACATCTTCGTGGGCCGGTCTCTGGGCTACCTGGGCGGGTCGGTGCTGGGCGGGCTGCTCTTCGACTGCATGAACGCCCCCCTCCTTCTCGGTGAGTGCCAGCCGCCGCCAAAACCGTGCCCACCCCCCCGGAGGGAACCCTTGGGACGGGTTTGCCCTCTTACTCCTCGCGCTGCCTCGGGGGCAGACGTGGCGTCGTGGCGGGACACTGGGCCCCGGGGCGTGAGGTGCCGCTCCCCATAACGTGCCGCAGTTCCGCTGCTGCTCGCTGTCGCGACGGTCTGCTGGGTTCGTTTGTCCGGCGCCACGTGTGTCCAGGCATCGCAGCTGTGCAGCAGGGGTTCCAAGTGGTTGGGCTCACTGGGCTTAGTAATTGTGGTAACTGTTACGAACTGACAAGACCTGTTTGGATTGACCAGAAGGTGCAGAAAAGAGTACAGTTGGCTTAACTTTTACCCTTCATATCAAACAACAGGCTTAGTATAGATCTTCTTGGGATATACAGTTTTCTATAATGTCACTCTGAAATGCATGAACAATGGGGAAGCTGGGCTTTGGCTTTCGCATGCACACACCAGAGACCTTGAACAGTCATGCTGAGGCATGGAGAGAGCTTTGTAAAACCCTTCCTTTTCCAAAAGCTTGCCAGGAGTGCTCGGGTTCACATACAGGAAAAAAGTACTGAGATTTTGACTGGAGGGCCTTAACTGAATTAGAACTTATTTAAAGTGGAAAAACATAAAGTAGCACCTGCAGTGGTGGAAACTTGCTGCTCAGTTTCTGCCTAGCTATGAAAACATAAACTTCATAGGAGCCCCTATTTATGATCGTAACAGTTTTCTGGACACATGGAAACTGGCCTATAGGAGCGTGGGACTGGCTTTGCTCTGGCAACGTGGGGCTGCTCAGCTATTAGAGGCACGCTTAGCATCCAGAGATAAGTTGCTTCTTTTAGAGTTGTGTTAGTGTCTTGTTCAGGTGGAGATTTTCACAGTTGCTGTGAGCACACACCTAAAATAGTGGACGCTCTGTCTTGTTTTCCTTTCAAGTGCAGTAATGTCAGCGTGTGCCTTTGTGCTCTAAGTTAGGGACTAAAGGAGTCTCCTTCCCATGCTTTTATTCAGGGAGATTCAGACAGAACTAGGTGTTTCTATAGGACTGTGCTGTAATCACAGGAGTAGTTCAGAGGATATGAGAAAATCCATTTTCCATTGCTAGTTTTTGAGCTATGTCTCTTCTTATCCCTGTGTGCCTTTTTCCTTCTAGCAGGAGCAGTCATGGCATACAATGTCTGTCTCTTCTCCCTTTCCCCTCACCCCTCTTCTTGTCTTCATCTTCCTGGCTCAGTTCTTATTTGCTCTTGTTCTAAGATACCTTTGGTCTCCTCCCTGTTCTTTATTCCTCTCCTTCAGAACACCAGTAAAGCGGGTTTCCTTCAGCCTCCTTGTGCATCTGACAAGGTCAGAGTTGCCTGTGTCTGGCATAGGAGACTTTACCTTCCACAATGGCATTGATACACCTGTGGAAGTTAGTGTTAATTGAAATAGTTTAGTACTTGTTTCTGTTCCTCAGGTACCACATAGGATAGCTCTTTGTCAGCAGCACCTGGAAGATGATTTCATCTCCTGATCTGTTCAAATTTGGTAGTACTTATGGCAAAACCACAGTGAAGCAACTGAATCATCTCTCATGTTTATTGTTTGAGAACTGCTGTAAGAGATTATGGCTGGTGTAGTTTACCTCCCGCCTTTAAACTGCTGATACTCTGCTACTGTACAGAGAAAAAAATGAAGACATAATCTGTCAAGGAAGCGTTTAGGTTCCAATCTTGAGGCACAGAGTTGAAATGGATGACTGAGAAGTTGCTTCTCAGCTCTGAGTGGGGCATCTGTGAAGCTGTGCTTAATGCACCCATCTTTAGCTTTTTCTCTCTGCATCTTGGTATGCCAGCTTTTAAAAATGTCCTGAGATGTGTATGCTGAGTACCTGGGTAGGGCTCTAGGGCTCTGGATATTTATTTTTTCCTTTGTTAATGATGATGTTGGTTTTGTTTGGAATCACAGATTTATAGAATAGTTTGGGTTGAAAAAGACCTTAAGGTCACCTAGTTCCAACCGCCCTGCCATGGGCAGGGATGTATCACAGTAGCCCATGTCAACCAAGCCTCTGTCCAACTTGGCCTTGAGCACTGTTGGGGATGGAGCATTAACCCAAGGTCTTAATTAGATCAGTCGCCATTGATCTGTAAGTATTTGCCCCACCTAAGCATTGATTTGAAAAATAATAGAGATGTGTGAACTGGTACAGGCTTTCTAAAAACCTAATACTGTATATGCAAGTTATTAATTTCAGGTTATTTTACTGTGGTGATTAGAAGCATAGAATTTAGCTGCTGGACTTCTTCCCAAATGGGAATTAAAACGATTTCCTTTGCTAAAAAATATTTTTGAAATGGTATGTTGTAGGTGCAGTTAATAATAGCAGAACCGATACAGTTAATGAACTGCTGCTACATTTAGGAAGAGAAATTTTGTAGTTCTGTGTCTTAAAACTCCAGAAAGCCTTTGGAATACATCTCTCATCTGAGAACAGAAAAGAAATGAAAGTCAGCATTTGTGCGTGGAGGTTGCTTGCTGGCCAAGGTACAACCTCTTTCTAGGTTTCTGCGAGTTCAGTGATTTGGGTTCTTTTAAAATAGAGCCAAATCTAATGCTCTGTAGTTCTTGGAGGGAACACTTCATACTGTTCAAGGCCACATTTTGCTGCTTTTGTGGTAAAGTAACATTTCTAGGTAAGTTTGCAGAAGATACTATTTTATAAGTCAAAAGCTTGCAGAGGACTTGTTAGTGTTGTAGCAGCAGATGCTGCTCCTTTTGCAAATAAAGCTGTAGCAAAACAGGTTTTTAATGCAGTGTTTAGATTGTGTTGAAATTCCTGTTTTTCTAAGAGAAAAATTACTCTTCTGAACTCTCTCAGCTGCTCTGCTAATCGGGAATTGAGGTAGCTGGGTTACATCATCACCTCTTAAGATTATCTGCAACTTTAAAAATTATGAGTTATTTGTATTTCTTGGGTTTCTGTACGTTTTTATGGAAACTCTGGGTGTTTTGTGTTTGATTTTTTTTTTTTTTTTTTTTTTTTTTTTAACCTTTCTAGCATTATCCATGTTTGGAACAACCGTTGGTCTGTATGGGATACCCTGGTGTAAGAAATCCCTGCTGCTAACTGTCTTGATGTCAGTTATTGGAGCTTCCATGGGAATTCTAGACACAGGTAAGGGACCACGTGGTCTGACAGTTCCTTCACCACACTCATTGGAAACTTCATGTGACATGTCTTGGATTAAAAGAAGGAGCTGTTTTACTAGGCTGGGATTCTTGGATTATTCTGATCCCAAGACTTAACAGTGTTTGTGTCTTTGTAACTGATGTGGTAGCTGGGTACCTCCTGCTTCCTGGAGATCAGTACACATTTCAGTGGGCAGTTACAGGCATAAGAGAAAGTCTCAGGTGCTCTTTAAGCAGTGTTTGCTTTAGATTACTCAGCTACAGAAAGCTGGATGTGTCATGGGTCATTAACGTTAGCTGGAGGTATGTTAGTCCTGGGCAAGCAGGCCCCGGGTGTTTGAGATTCTCACAGTTGCTGTGTTGGAAAGTTGCCCACCTAAAGCTGGGTAGGCAGCATTTGGGGATTCACAGGAGATGGATACTGCCATAGGTGGCATCCATCTCCCTGAATTAAGGAATATTTACTGCCCTTGGCCAGCCTCACTTCAGTGTTTGCGAATACAAATTTATTGTATCTCTCAAACTGAAAGTCTGTGGTATGTGCATACTGCATATAGCCTGGGGAAAAAAAGATCCCCCACTTCTGTTGGAAACCTGCTCAAACCCAATTTCTTAGTAGAGATTCCCTATGGAGGACGATGTACTGGTAGAGTGCAGAGTAAATGTCTGGAGGTGTGGCTGGAAAGGTCAGTTGTGCCAGAGATATGACAAAGAAACTCCTACAGGAATTACTTCATTGGACATGGCTTAGGATGGGTTAATGATGGCTGGCAGTTTGGATCAGGAGGCAAGGCCACCTCAACAGACTTAAGCACGCTTAGGGACGTATGGGTGATGCTGGTGGACTTGCAGGTAGAGATCAGGAAACAGCCAAGAATACGCTGGCAGCAGTGTGCTGGGGAGTTGCTATAGAGTGTGGAGCTGCAGCAGGCAGCTCACTTGGCACCTCAGCAGTGCTCTGCCAGCAGCATGCTGGCTTGCCTGGCTTACTGAGGGAGCCTGTGGTTACCAGCCAGCAAGGTACTGCTGGGTCTGGTTCACCACTTTGAGGGCAGGCTTATTTCTGAGAAAGAGCTGGCTGGTGTATTATCCTAGCTACCCACACAGCTCTGGAAGCATCAGCTGGGGCCTGGTTTTAAAGACTTCGCTGGTAGGCAATACAGAGGAACAATGGCTGCACATGTGAGCCATCTGCTGTAACTCTGTGGAGTTTGAGGGAACTGTGTTAACAGTAAAGAGAACATGATACAGAATCCAGCAGTGAAAAAGGTGGTTTTGCATGGCACAGGTTATGCTAAATAACCTGAGTGCAGAGGTGTACTTGCTGCCTCTGGCAGGATCATTATACATGGCACTTGGTTTAAAAATCCTTCATATGGGAAAATCTTGTCAGGTAATTGTAAAAATGTCTCCAGGGGGTGGATGTGCTTTTGGATGTCAGAGCCCTGAGGCAGGGAGGCTTCCCAATCTGAGCAGAAATAGCAGGAGAAACTCAGAGCAAGGCAGTAGAGTGTAACTTAATTAATTCATTTGGAAGAGCGCTGCTGTATGATTACTGTTTTCCTGCGTTCTTCTCAGGAACTAATTAAAAACATGTGAGACCTTATTCTCTAGCATTATTGTTATCCGAGGGTGTTGTAGTTTGGTCTTTGCAACTTTCTGCTTCTGGAAAGTCATGTGAGTGCACTTAGGGTAGTCCCAGCCCCTCAGAATCAAGTGATTCTTGATGTTTCCTGGGATGTTGTTTAATGAAGCCTCTGGTTCTTCACCTTGCGCATTGTGGCTTTTAATATTTACATAAATGAGAAGCAGTTAAATTTGCTCTTTTGAAAACCGGCTGAAAAATGCTGCAGATTGTCAAGTAGGGTAATTAGAATCATAGAATGGTTTAGGTTGGAAAAGACCTTCGAGACTATCGGGTCCAGTTGTTAAACCAGCACTGCCAAGTCCACCACTAAACTAACATCCCTTAACACCACATCTGCACATCTTCTAAATCCCTCCAGGGAGGGTGACTCCACCACTGCCTGGGCAGCCTGTTCCCTTTTGGTGAAGAAACCCTTTTGGTGAAGAAATTTTTCATAATATCCAATCTAAGCCTCCCCTGGCACAACATTAAATACAGCCATGGCAGCTTGGAATAAGCCATTGCATGGCTCCTCATTTTGACTGCTGTGAATTCCCTCCTAAAGCTCAAGCTCTTACATGGGTTTAAGATGCTCAGAGGCAGAATTTCAGTTAACTACAGTTTTGCATATTGTATTTGCTAAACCTGCTGTTATTGCACATTGCAACTCTAGGTTATGGTTTGGTTTATTTTGTCTTTCTTTAAAATAATATCTGTTTTCAGATTAAAAGGACTGAATCCTCCTCTTTGATCTGCAGGTGGCAATGTACTGGCCCTGAACACATGGGGAGCAGAGGCTGGGCCTCATATGCAGGCCTTGCACTTCAGTTTTGCTGTCGGTGCTTTTGTGGCTCCAATCCTGGCTAAAATGGCCCTGGGAGGCTCCGGCTCTGAAGACTTCGCAGCTGCTGAAAAGACAAACCAGTCTGTGCTGAGGTCTGTGCCGACAACATCAGCTGCATCAGCTATGTCAGCACTGAGACATCGTCTTGGTGCAGATTTTCAGTGGTCCTATGTTGTCATAGGCACCTATCTTCTGTTAGTCTCTTTCTTCTTTTTTATCTTGTATTCAAAAGGCAGCTCAGCTCGGGACAAATCCAAGGCCTCTCTGCAGAAGTGCGTGTTTGCCAAATACCACTCTGCACTTATCAGTCTCCTGTTTGTGTTCTTCTTCTGCTATGTGGGAGCGGAGGTCACGTATGGCTCCTACATATTTACTTACGCAAAAGTCTTTGCTGAGATGAAAGAAAATGAAGCGGCCGCTTTGAATTCTGTCTTCTGGGGCGCGTTTGCCGCTTGCAGAGGAGTGGCGATATTTTGTGCTGCTTGCTTGTACCCTGGCGTCATGATTCTGGTGAGTATCATAGGCTCTGCTGTCTCCTCTTCATGCTTGGCCTTCTTTGCGAGGTCCCCAGCCTTGCTCTGGGTTGGAACTGCTGTCTATGGAGCATCAATGGCCACCATCTTTCCCAGCGGCATTTCCTGGATAGAGCAGTACACAGTGGTGCAAGGGAAATCGGCTTCTCTGTTTGTGACTGGTGCTGCGCTGGGCGAGATGTGCATCCCTGCCGTGGTGGGCTATCTTCAGGGCAGGTTTCACCATGTCCCTGTGGTTATGTACACTGCCTTGGTAACGTCTGCAGTCACTGTGGTGCTCTTCCCTCTCATGTACAAATTGGCCAACTCTCCCAGAGAGAGCAGCTTTAAAGAAAGGAGTGAGAGTGAGGACCGGAAAGCTTTGTTGTCAAACGTGGGGCTTAATGAGGATGAAGAGGATGAGGAGGATGCGGGGGAGTGGAATGAAGCAGACTTTGAGGTAATAGAAATGAATGACACGCTGAGAAACTCTGTGATAGAGACCTCCCGTAAGATACCAGGGGACTCTCCAGCCAAAGTCTTTCTCCAGCCCCGGCTGGACAATGTGTTGTGTGATTCCCCTGTGGTTGCTGGTGGCTCCCCTGGGAGGAAAAATGTGAACACTGAGCGGGAGAAGAACGACTGAAGTAAAAGGTGACTGTTTTTAAAGAGAAATGGAACTGAATTGCAGCTGTTCTTGTAGAGTGGTTCAAGACTCCTTTCACAGCGGTGCAGCGCTCAGCATGTTTGTCTCTTTCATTTTCAGTCTGCATTGATGTGGCTTGGAGTGGGGAAGTCCACAGTGACATGAATGGGGTGATGACATAAAATGTAGAGACTATGCCAAAAGCATTAAAACATAAGAGTCATTTTCTAAATGTGAGGCATGTATTGAAGTAGTGCATGCCAGAATAAGAACTAGCAAGGAAAGAAGGAGACTGCTCACACCACTCAGGTTTTTTTTTTTTGGGTGGGTTCAGAGGTGCTCAGTTCCTGGTCACAAAACATTTGCATGAGAGAGGAGAGAAATCCATTACCTGTGATGCTGAACCCTCTTACCTTGTGACAGGGGAATGTTTCTACTGCTTTGAAAGTTTGTGTGTGACGTAAACCAGGAAATCAAGTCAAATTTCAGGCTGCAAACTGGGGAACCTGTTGGCAAAGGATATACTTTCCTGGTTCTGTCACTAAGACGGGGAAGAACCCCTGAAAACCAGTTGTCAGGAGCAGAGAAGTATGCCTTTGGGTCATTTAAAAGTGTGGTATGGGAAGGGAGACAAAATGGGTTCTATTAATCACTGTAATGTGCAATTCTGATTTACTCGTTGAACAGTGGTGACAAATCTCAATAGTCCGAAGTACTTGTGATTGTAATGACTGCACTGCCACTGGAATCAACCAGTGTCTGAAGACGATAAAATCATCTGTATAAGCAGATTACTTAATAGATGGTATTCAGATAGGGATGTGGTATTTTAAGCCAGTTGTTGAAATTAAGGTTCTAATAACTTTTCTGACTTCTTGTGCCAAGGGATGTGTTAAAATGAGAACTGGAGACTGAGGGAATTCTTGATGGGAGGATCCTTCTGGGTTGTCCTGTACCATGATTCCTCACCCCTTTCCAGTTTGGATTTTGGTTCTTTGAGTGGTGATTTACAGGTGGACGCTTCCTAGCGGAGCAGCAGCAGGAGTCTGAGGAGGGAGACCCCGGTGGTGAGCCCTCACCAGAAGAAACTGCAGCAGCTCAGGGTAGACTGCCTCTGAACAGTCTATTTGTCTACCTGAACCTCTCCACATTTGTAGGTTGAGTATTGTTTTTTTTTTTAAGGCAGTGTGATCAGAATGTACTCATGTTTAGGGTCTTTTTACTTTGACTTTTGATAGTATTTTTCTTGCTAAAAAGTTTCATTTATTAATGAAGGAGCTGTAGATGTTAACAGCACAGGACTGCAGGTATTCTGTGTACTTTCGGGTCTGGTTTCGTACCCTCTCTCATCTCCTGAGTGTGCAACCTGGACTCTTGCGGCTTTTTCCTTTCTTCTGCAAAGTTTGTAAGAAGCAGGAATCAACTTGTAGTGAAAATGCACAATTGTTTTGCATCTTGCTGTGTCACAGGGCCTCCCTCTCCCTCTGCTATTGGCACTGAAATGCCCTTGTGTTTTTTCCTGAATTCCCTTTTACCTTGTGTGTTTATATGCACTTCTGTGGCATCTTACCCAGTGCAATGCATGAACCTGCACTTTAAAATAAGGCTTTGTTTCACTTGTTAGGCTCTCCTTTGTTTAAACTAATGGTGAATGTTTTGAAGTGTAAGGCCATCTCCTGGCCCTGGTACATGCGAGACCGTTTGTTCAACAGAAGCAAGTCTGTGTCACCCTGTGTCTTTTGTTTTATATGACAGCAAATGGCACAGGGAGCGACTACACAAGTGCAATGAAGCCTCAGTGGCTTCAACTTTTTTCCGTTTTTTCTGCTGCAGTAACTGCTTTGTGTGTAGAAAGTGGGAGGTGTCACCTGATGGTAAGTACAGGTCCCTCTGCTGCCTGGGGAGGAGTGTGAACTGCGCCTGCTCTGCTTTTGGGGTAGTTCTTGGCTTCCCGTGAGGGCAAAGGTGTCCTCTGGCAGAGGCTGCTGACTTTGGTGCAGGACAAACAACACGAGATGCAGAAACGGGTCCGTGGCAGGTCCCTGCTGTCACTGCAATCCACAGGCTGTATCTGAATTGACAGCGATGTAAAAAAGTTTCCCTGTACCTGAGACCATGTTGCCAGAAGCAAATTAGTTTGAGAGACACACCTGGCAACCAGGAGGATCTTAAATAATCCATACACTAGTTTTTGGAATGGAATTCCAAACTGGAATGTCCTGCACATAAGATTGTTCTCAGGGATAGTTTACACATCTTCCATAATCAAGTACTAAAAAGAACCAGAAAATTAAAGATGCAGTGGGAAATACACTGTAACCTCTTTGAACCTTATCCAGTTACTGCATGTTTTTCTGTCTTCCCAACCAATGCAAAAATATTGTGCAAAAGAAAGATTTTATTTTTTTATTATTTATTTTATTAACCTCTAATTCATTTGAATTCATCCCCATTTTCCTCCCTCCCAGAATCAGGAAGCCCATATAGTAGGACTGGAGCAACAGCCTGGAATGTTGAGGCAAGAGCAGCCTTTTGCCCAAAGACTCCGAAAAAGCACTGTCAGGAAGGGAGTTAAATTATCTTGACTGCTACCATGCAGCATCATGTCAGATGGGTGTATGAAGGCCTTTGTCTGGATGATGTCTACATTTTGGGCCATCTTAGCGAGCACTTGGAGCCTTCACTGTCTTTAATTCTGGCCTCAGACTTGAAATGGAATATACTTCCAGGACTTGTTCTCCTTGTCCCCTAGCAGCTGACTCTCAATAGCAGGGGCTGCCCTGTAATGACAATGGAATGTTTAAAGCAGTATAAGATTAAACAAGATCTAGGACATTTTTAGTTGTGAGCCCAACTCACAGCAGTTCAGACATCCTTGATGGTCAAGGCTGTAGCTTTCCTAGTTTGTGGATTTTGGCATTCCTCAAGGCTTGTTTTCAGACACTGAATGTTAGTTTTCACATGTTTAAATTTCTGTCCAAAGTAAATTTTATCCTGGCATATAGAGGTAGAGTGAGGATCTGTTTACAGTGTGGCTCTAGTTATGGTGTCTTTTACATTACAGATCCTCTAGAAAGCTTAAACACTTCAACTTACTTAAACATTATTCTGGGCTGAACTAACTTGAAGCAAACTCTATTATCTTCACCCTTCCCTTGCTTATGCTAGAGAAGTCATCTATCTGTTGAGGACAAGAGCTGTGGTCCATGGACTAGAAATGTGAATTGAGTAAGGAAGACTCCTGTTTTTAGCATCCATAAACCCAGGAGTGGGTTGAAGATGAGCACATGCCCATTTGCTCCAGGGTAGAAGGTAACCTGCAGCTAAGTGTCCTTTGTTGGTTTGTGTTACTTTTGTTTTTCTCCGAGGCACTGCCATATGGTTAGTCCTGGCACTTGCACTTTGATTCTGCACATGAGCAATGCTGGAATGCAAGAGCCAGCAGAGTTTTGTGCCTTGATTTTACTTTTTTTTAGTGACGTTGCACAAAAATGCATTGCAGTCTGTGGCTGTTTTAGGTTTTATGCTGCTTGGTGCGGGTTTACATTGTATGGTGTGCTGTGAAATTTAATAGGCTGACTTGTATCCTGAATATAATAAATTCTTAACAGGAGAAGACACTCAGGTTCCATGATGTAAATAAAGTTTGTTCTATTTTTCAAAGTTACTCTGGACTTCTAGATTTGAAACTTACTCCTGTTGTGACTACCGTTTCTCTTTGGATGTGGGGAAGGCCTCCAAGAGATGATACTGAGGTTTCAGATCCCAAAGCTTGAGCTGGATTTGCGGTTTACTTGAGCAGTCTGGGTTTTGTGACTGTGGGCCAACCAAAGGCAACAGAGGTGGCTACAGCTGAGGGTAAATATAAAAACCCATGTAATTTTTACCATATCGTTTTATTCAACTTTAATATGGTTTCCATTATTAACTTCTAAAACAAAATGATTTCCAGTTTAGAAAACAATGCACTGACCACATAATTCCTTTTCCATTTTATACAGTTATACAAATATTCTAAATACACATTTTGTCAAGATGGTGGCAAATAAGATTTAACTGTACAGTACATAAGGAAAGAAAATATTTTAAGCATATTTAGAAGCAATAGAAATGTCTATACAAAACAAGCAAAAATGGAATAAAATTTTATATTTAAAGTATTGCAACAGTCCCACAGGTTTGTAACAAAAATGTCTTTGCACAGTTCCTCACAATGCCCCATTAATAGCTAAAGCAAGACAGCAATTCTTAGAAAAAAATGTTTTAAAATGCTACACATGATACTACTGCCTGCACAGTCTGATCAAAATAACCATCTACTTGGAATCAAGCAAAACTCAGGAGGAGATATACCAACCAACTTTAAAATTATCTGTATAAAAGTCATTGCACATTATTTTACTCAGTTGTTTGAAAAGTAAAAAAGTGTATTTACAAAATATTTCGCAGACAAAATTATAAAGTGAATGGATAATATCGAAGTAACACGTCTTGATACTGACAGTTCAAGAACACACACGAATGGTTGTATCGGTTCAAGAGGTTTTCAGTACTCCTTCCTCCAGGAAGTAAACTTGACTTCTACTTGAAAATGGATTTACAAGATGTTACACATAGCTATTTATTTCAACATCAGCATTAGAAAACAGTATGTTAGAAACATGAAAGAAGGAAGAAATTTGTACATCTTAAAAAGTGAGCTGTTCATAGGTCAAATGTTTGTTGGTTTTTAATTTAGTTAGGATAAGCGTTCATTATTCTTCAGATAATAAACAGTTAAAATGGCAATCCTGGACTAGATGAGAATTGAAAAGCACCATGCACAATAGTCTTAGTGTGGTAAACACTGAAGGGAAAAACAAGTAGCACCTGGAATCCTGTGACTCAGCTTGTTTAAAACTGGTCGAGCAGCTGGCGAAGATACGGTGCCTTGGACAGTTCTCTGCTGACTCTGGAGAGCTTGAAGAGTACGGGACAGTTGAGGGAGACACACTGGATATGTCGATCAAAGCAGCCTGTACAGTTCTTGCATATCTAGATTGCATGTCAAAAAGCAAAACAGATTATTGCAAACTTGGAACAAGGAAGGTATAAATCACTTGTGAAGTTCTCAGCACTAAGTGACAGCAGAAGAGGGCAACCCCACCAGCACCATCCTTTACGCAACACAAGAGGGCTCCAGAGCAGCTCTGCTCTGGGTATGGAGCCTCTCCTGCAGCTGCCAGGCTGCTCCTTGTGCTGCCGGTGCTGGTGCTTGGGCTGGCATCAGCTGCCCCGCGCTGGGCAGCAGAGTTGAACAGCTCAGGCCTCAGTCCTGCTCATGGAGTTCTACTCGGATGTGGTGGCATATGTTAAGGAAAATGAGTGGATTAAGTGGGGCAGTGTGTTATACCCATGATAAACTTGCCCTGTAGAAAAGTATTCTACCGAAACAAGACAAAACTTAGTCTGCAGTTATTCTAAGCAGGAAAGGGACTGGATAAACTACTGTTTCAAGTTAAGCTCCCAGGTCGTAGTTAATCAATCCCAAGACAGAAATGCACAGGGTACACAGGTTCCACTGCTCTCCTCCTTCATGGATATTCCTTAATGTAGTTAATGCTGCTTGAAAGTACTTTCAGCATGAGATACCTGATGGAATCAAACAGCAGCAGGCACAGGGTTTCCAAAGGTAGCTGCCTTGAGAAAACTAAAGGCCCCTCTTTGCTATTTTATTTTTATTCCTTTCCAGCATCTGCCACCTCTGATGGTTCTTCCAAAAACTCACCAAGTTGCTTCCAGCCACACTTGTGTTTTGTAACATCAAAACATTACACAGCGTTACCGCACCATTTGCACCGTTTCAACAACAAGTCAAAATCTTAGCCCTTTGCTTTTAAAATTAGTTACTTTCCTTCTTTCCACGTTAAAACTATCTGGGTACCAGCAACCCTCTTGGCCAGACCTTTACCACCACTGAATCCCTGTGGACCGTAAATTCACACTGACAGCAGCTGGAGAGGAGCCACCCTGCTCAGCCATGTCCCACACATGGCACCTCGGAGGATACCAGGTCTCTGCCCTGCAACTGTGACCCAAAGGAACGGGATTTAAACCATTTGTTCAGGAGCAGGATTTAAGCTATTTGTTCCAGGTTTGTAAGCACTAGAAGAACCTCAGAAACAAGCCCACCCTTGTTCTGTTGTAAGGCTGTGGCTGGTTTGAATGCAAGGGACCACCTAAAATGGTACTTGAGACACTTTCTAAATTCAGTTTGTGTAGAGGGGAGCCGTCTCTGGCCTTTATCTGTGGCACATAGTTTTTTCGTGTGTTTTAAACTAATGTAGCATTCAGTGTTGTATCAGTTTTCTGCTGGCTCCGGCATGTCTATGATGTAGTAGGGCCAAGAATGTAAACTGTGAAGGATATATACATCTTCATATTAAAATGAGACAGACACTCTTAGAGAGGCTGAGTCATCAGATGCTGATTACAACATCGATCCAGGCCTTGCCAACCCGTTGGGTGTTGCAGAGACAGAAGACAGTTCTGATGGGAACACTGACCCTTCCATGGGGCTGACCCCATCTGCCCGGGTCTGAGTTATTCCAGAACAAAAGCAATGCAAAAGGTTCAGAGTACCACAGAAAACTGCAGAACATGCATCGCCTTCCTCTATTGCCATTTACAATGCAGGTCACAGCAAATGTTACAAAATACACACTCCTAATGCAGTATTTATGAATAATGAACAGTAATGGTTTTCTAGCAACGGAACCCCGTGGGAACCTGTCAAATCAATGCCTACACTATAGGAACATTCATATCCCTGCAATTCAGACAAGTCTTGAACACGGCTCACATGCTACTGCTAAAAATACATTGTAACAGAAATATTAATGATAAGCTACAACAGTACGAAAATGAGGTGAGGACAGACACCTTTCTGCAAGGGGAGGCTCTGTGCTCTGCTAGAATATACTGGTGAGTGCAGTGAGCCATCCTCTGCACTGACTTCTAGCTCAGGGGGCAAAAAAAAATAACAGCTTGGAAAATTCCTACGAGAGGAAAGATAACAAGAAAACCTCCAGGCTAAAACACATCCATATTAAACACATAAATAAATGCATTTCTTGGGACAACATTTTTGTTACTAGAACATTGTCAGTTATTTTAATGCAAAAAAGGTGACTCATACTTTCACAACTCTCCATCACTGTCATTATAAAAAGGCACCTGCAAACTATTCTATGATTCTATGATTCTAAACCATGTAAGATAAAGAAGAAAAGCATTTTTTTTCCTGATCTCACCCCCCTTTTGCCTTCAGTTTTATGCAAAGCTAAGGAGAGGAACAGCTGCTACACTGCCTTCAACAGCAATGGGAAAAAGCAAACAAGCTGCAACACGTTTAGCACCTAGACTGTGCTTCCCATTTCGGCTGGGGGCATTCAGTAACAGGCTGCTTTGAAATTTCAGCCCGTCTTTGGCTGACAGACATCTGACAGTGCTTTAAGCGTACCTTGACCAGCTGTTCCTGCTTACGCTCCAGCTCTCGGATTTCTTGGTTGAGAATCACTGCCACATGCTGTGGCTGGCTTCTGCATTTATTACAGATCCCATACTGGGTCAGTTCATCGCACACAGGACAGTGTAAGGTCGTGAAATACTGGGAGATTGTGCCTTTGCGTCCTTCCAGCTCGCTGTGGGCAGCTGTAGCAGCTTTCTGAATCTTAGAAAAATAAAATTAAGAGGTAATGAACTTTAAAGAGAACAGCTCACCTTATTCCTGTGTTACACAGCCTCATTTTTTTGAAAGGAGTATGGAAGTGCAACACAGCCTGCAGGGCATGGCTTCAGACACAAATTATTAACATGGATCTCATCACCAAAGAGCGCAGCATTGCCCGGAAGTGATACACAGGGTAGAACACACCCACACCTATTTCACAGCGAATCTCACCAAAAAAGACAGAGTAACCAAGGAAATCCTCAGTCACATGCTAAACTCCTGATCTCATCTTGAACTCTGCCTCTTGCAGAGCTCCTTTGTAGGTGTTGATCTGCTTCACATCCAAAGGTGTTCCTGGCTGCAGCCGCAGTCGCTGCCTTCTGGATACTGCCTCCATCGAGTTTCTGTGCCGGTGTAGTCCTCGTCACAGAGCTGCCACAGAGCCCATGCTCTGATTTTTCCAGACGAAGCTCCACTGCTGCCCCCTCACCCAGGGAAGTTTGTTCTCTGCACTCACTCCTAGTGCTGCATGACTTGTGCTTTGTGTTATCCCACACTCACTGCTTCAAACACAACCTCTGCTCGGTGCTCTCTGGCCTTGCGGAAAATCAGGGCTTTTTTTGCTATTTCAGAGCAGCTTGTTGGAGATACTTAAGGTGAGTGTTGCAGTGCCACTGGAAAGGTAGAGAAGCAGAACTGAACTCCACCAAGGCTGTATTAAAAGCGTGCAGTGGAGAACATGATGTACTTCTATGCTGCTGAAGTCTACACTAAGCAGAGTCACCAAACTACACAGATACCATCTTTCACCACCTGTTTTTGTCAGGGGAATCACAGACTAAAATCCAGCTAATACATCTCTTTCTTCATCTCGGAGATTTCTTTAACTTTCAGGAAACTCACTTTTGGAAATAGTTTAGAGTTTCTGGTGATACAGTTTTTGAAAGAAGTG